TTTTTTTTTTTTTTTTTTTTTTTTTAGCTGAAACCAACATAACAATGTTTACCAAATAGTACAAATACACGGTGTGTTAGTAACTCCTATATTAAAGTTTTAATGCAATCATTTAAGTCCTAGGTTTACCTAATGAAAACATCTGAAGTAATTCATCCTGTTCTTTAGTTAAGTCTGCAATCTTTAATTCTGCTTTGTTCCTCTCTCTATCAATAATTTCCTGATTTTTTCTTGATGATAGAGTGGCTGTAGGTGTGACATTTGAGGTGCCTGTAAACATGTAAATAGATTAAATAATGAACACTATTATAATGCATATAGACATGCTGTGGAATACATTATTTAATTACACAGCACTCCTATTGGCCAAATATTCTGCATAGTTCACCATAGTCCCAAGCAACCGTTTTGCAATTTAATTTTAATGCCTCTCATGTCACTCTACTTTCTCATTTTCATTTTAATGCCTCTCATGTCACTCTACTTTCTTCTCACATTATAAAGCTGAATCAACCAGGAATAATAATTCCTCCCGGCTCTTCGGAACCAACAACTGGGTCAACTCCTCTTGTTTTTAAGTGTCCTGCGTCACTTGACATAACCTATCCTTAATAATCGAAAAATAGGAGTGGGAGAGCACAGCATTAGGCTGAATTCGCTGAGCATCAATTACTCTCACTTGGTCAAAGGCGTGCCTGAGGCTCCAAGGGGAAATCCTCGAGGGAAATCCCCACCAAGAGGATTGCTCTCGATGTCCCCCTGACGTGGAGCTGACTTTGACGGCCCTCACTTTGTGCACAGGAGGACTGTCATGCTGAAATGGATTTGGACTAGACCCCTAGTCCCACAGGACTAGTTCCAGTGACAGGAAATTGTAATGCTACAACATACAAAGACATCCCATACAGTTGTGTGCTTCAAACTTTGTGGCAACAGTTTGGGGAAGACCCACATATGGGTGTGATGGTCACGTGTCCACAAACCTTTGACCATATAGTGTATTTCTCATATTTCTCATATTTCTAGCTATTTGAATATATATTAACTAATGATCCATTAAGCATTATGTAATGTTTATTAATGAAAGTTATTATAAACTTTTCTTCAAATGTAAATAATCAGCACCTTGAGGATTTCTGAAATGTATCATATGTTGGGGATTTTCTTCTATTATTGACAAGAATGCATAGACAAACTGGATATTTAGAAACTGTCCCAATATATTTGAATTCACACTAACATTTATGATTGCAAAATTGTGTTGCACATCCAGTACATATGTATACTATACATATGCATTGGACAACTGATCAGAAGTTTGTGAGTTGAAATCCCAGCACCAGTAAGCTGAAAATCCCAGGAGATCTGCAGGTTCTGCCATAGTCTAAGTAGCCTGACTGGCACCAATAACCATTTTTCCCCCAAATCTGATGCTTGATGTGAACATTGACTGACTCGCAAACCTGATTAGCTGATAATTGCTTAATATTGCATGAACAATAATTTGATAATTGCATGAATAAGCAGATATACAGATGTTCCTAATTAAGTGGTCAGTGAATGTATATAGTATTGGAATGGCAAAGCCAATTCTTTAGTTTTTGCTATTGTATACACTGAAAACATTTTGGGTTTGAGAACAAATGATGAATGAAATGATAGATCAGAATTTCAGCTTTAATTTCCTGCTATTTACATCTCGGTGTGCTAAACAAGTCACACCATGCCCACATCGGGTTTAATCCAGATACAGGTACATATATTTGGAGTACTAAACAGATACAGAGACAAAGATGACATTTATCCAATCATCTTAACACATAAGTGACAGAGATATTCAATCCTAATCATTTAATAATACCATGAGTATCAATTATTGATAATACATTAATAAAGAATTTACATTTTACTTATATTTAAATTTACCCCATGCAGAATGTGTGCATGCTTACGCCTTCAGGAAGGCAGAGTTGTTTTACTTCTTCCATCTCCATAGTTGTATTTTTCCAACTGACTGGGTTGCTGTGATTACAAATAATGAAGCTGTTACTGACATACAGGGAAAGGAACACATCTCCAGCCGTTTTCTCTTCCTTCATATCACAATTATCACTGTAGCAGTGAGAGGTGATTGAGAGTTTCTGAGCTTCACAGGTAAGAGTCACATTACAGGCATCATTGCTTCGCTGAGGAGAGACATTAAGGACTGGTTTCTCCACTGAATCTGGGATAAACACATACAGATGTATTACAGATGTAGTACTGCTAGTCAATGCACACAATTGTTGGTTTCTATATACATCAGTGAATTTATTTTGGTATAGACAAAATTAACTGACCTCAAACATGACTACAGTAGAGACATGCAATTTTAATAAGACTTACCTAACACATATAATTGGTACTCGGCCACTTTTAGGTTTTGTTTACCAGCTGCTATTGCTTCATAGAGTCCACTATCATTCTTCTGCAAGTTCTTCAGGGTCAGACTATGGGTTTTCTCATTCAACTCCACTCTCTCTTCATAATCAGGGAATGCTATACTTGGAGAATTTTTATAGTGTTTCACAATGTTATTACTTTTGTTAAATGTCCATGTGAGGTCTAGGAACTGATAACCTTTTGTTTGTACATCCAGTTGAACAGAACTGTTAATCAGCTTAAACACATTTTCAGACGCTGCAGGGAAAAAGCAAAAATAAACCACTTAGTTATGTTGTGATGACTTGCATTATGTAATTTATTTTATGTCACAGGAATTTGTATATTACCAAAAATAAATATCCACCCAACAGGCAGAACAAGCCATGCATTAACAAATCCAAGTCTGCATTATTATTATTTTTTTTTTACCATAATATGTGACAACATTAACCACAAAATCATACTGCTGATGAAATAATGTATGGCTCATTCTTCCTTTCGATGCACGAGTCATGCATTGGCAAGTCCATG